TACAGACAAGGAGGCTACTTATTTGTGGCTATAACCCTCTCTCAACTCTATAACTCCGAAACACGAACCTTGACGAATAAAGCCGCTGCGTGGGGAAATAAGTTGAGCGCGGTACTACCAGGGACGTGGTGGGGATCGAACTCGGAACCACTCGTTTATGAAGCGAGCGCTCTACCACTACACCACTACCGCATTATATATATATATATATATATATATATATATATATATATATATATATATATATATATATATATATATATATATATATATATATATATATATATATATATATATATATATATATATATATATATATATATTTAGAGCAGAACTTATTATAGTATTTATTGAAAAGAGAAAGAGAAGCAACATTACGAAGATGCGACAATGGTTGAAGGTTGGCTGCAAAAGCAGATCCAATTATATTTACAATGCATTTTTGCACCTTGTCTAAAAGAGAAAGGGCATCATTCATTAAATAGCTTAGAAAGTATAGATGACAGTTCTGGAGAACTTTACGGAAGACTATAACAGGTATGTTGTCCGGAACACAAGCTGTAGAAGAGTCTAACAAGGAAATCACACTTTAGATACAGAAACTGGAATATTACAAACATCAATCAACCTGTTTGTCAGATATAGTAGAATGCAATTAGTGGGGATGTAGTACAATTTTTGAATTTTTTTTGATTTTTGACAATTTTATTTTCTGACTTTCTACACAAGTTACTCATTTAGCTCATTTTGAGTTTGAGGAGAAAAGTAGGATGTTGTGGTTTTCTTTGCCTTAAAAGATGCAATGTGTTCAGCTACTATAGGACAAAAATGACTCATCAACTCAACCAATTTCAAAAAAATCCGAATGTTTTTTTTTTTATTATTAAAAGTTTGCCATTTAAAATAATTACAACTTTCGTATTTGTAAAATATACTAATGGCGGGGGCAAGAAGAAGACAAAATAGTCTTCAGGCCCCTGTAAATAACAAAGCTATCAAAACTTGACATTAATATTGTTGTCAAATACAAAAAGATTGAAAAAAAAGATAATAAATTCAAAAATGTATTTTCAATAAAAAATGAACACAAAGCAAAAATAAAAAACAAACAAACAAAAAAATTTAATCAAAAATAACAATTAAGGATTCAGAATTAAGCAATACAATATATTAAGTATTTTTTCGTCAAAAATTTTTTGTTTTAGCAATAGAAATGAAAGTAAGAAGCATGTTTGTCAGCTCAACAAAAAAAGACAAAACTCCAGAGACAATTTCTCGAGGGCCATCACAAAAAAAATTTATAAAAAGAGTCACAGTCAGCTTTAAAGTAGCTGAAAGAGGTACAATGAGGATTTTAGAGAGATCAAACTGTGATCAGAAGCAATTTACTGAGAGAATGTGGAGAAACTGAGAAATGACTAGGATCAGAAACAAGACATAAATTGAGCAGAGGATGTGAATGATTTATATTGTCCGGAAAGTGAGTTTAAAATTGACAACTTGTGTTAGAGATTGAGAAAGGCAAAAATTTTGGGCCTTAACACCAGCAGAGTCACTGACACTAGAACAATGCCATTCAATGTGATAAAGATTAAATTCAACAACAACAAGGATATTGGATGAAGGATAAAGAGAAAAGTGTGCTGTCTTGAGCATCAAAAAGGATGCTGTCTAGTGCTGAAGAAGAGTAATATAGAACAAAGAGAAAGGTGATAGCGTTAAATGGTGCTAAATGAAAGCATATAAAAAAATAGTCTGTGGATTCAAAGATTTCTAGTTTCTAAACAAATGGGTAAATTTTTACGAATGTAAATGCTCGAGCCAAGCATGTGACTATTAGAGTTCGTGTTTCAGAGTTATAGAGTTGAGAGAGGGTTATAACTACTATTAAGTAGGCTCCTCATCTGTAGTGGCCTTCTCGGCCTTGAGGAGGTGAATAACAAAAAAAAAAAAAAAATTAAATAAAATAAAAATATACATATATATATATATATATATATATATATATATATATATTTATATATATATATATATATATACATATATATATATAAATATATATATATATATATATATATATATATATATATATATATATATATATATATACATATATATATATATGTATATATATATATATATATACATGTTTTGAGTACAACTCTGACTCCGACTCCAACTCCAAATCCTACTTTAACTCCAAAGCAAAATTTTTGAAAAAATCTTTGAATTCTTTAAAAAATATTGCGCTATAAGTTGAAATTTTTTTTTGACAAATTTATGAAACATTCTTTGAGGTTTAGTATGAACATAAGGTTAATTGAATGTTTTGTACATGCACGTGCAATACCAAGAAATTTTACTATAGGAGTCAGATTCACGATACTTTTTAGCGACTCCGACTCCGCTAAAATTGTTGCAACTACGCAACTCCGACTCCACAGCCCTGATATATATATATATATATACTACTTAGACTATTCTACAGCTTGTGGTTTGGACAACATACGTGTTATATTCTTGCAGAAGAGTTTTCCGGAGCTGTCATCTATACTTTCAAAACTATTTAACAAGTGCTTATTAAAGTCTTGTTATCCAGCCTACTGGAAAGCTGCATCTGTTATCCCTAATTTCAAAAACTCTGGACAGCGTTCTGGCTTATTTAACTACTGTCCCATTAGTTTTCCTACTATTATAAGCAAGATTTTCCAGTCTTTAATTAACAAACACTTAATCTCTCATCTAATAACTTATTTACTGATCATCAATATGGATTTCGATCTTCCCGATCCACTGATGATTTGTTAATGGTAATAACTGATGGGCTTTATTTGCATTAGATAGATGTGGAGAGGTTAAAAGGATCCCAAACTCCCAACACATGTTGGGTTCATATTAAAGATAATGTTAAAAAAAAAGGTTTGAACCAAATTTTTTTGATTAAAAATAATTAATGAATGCATAGTGTGAAAAACAAATGTTGTTGTTTTTGCCGAAGCTCGTCTTCTCCATTTTTTTCAACTACTCGGAGTCTTCAAATTTTGCGTCGCAATCTACAGACTTTGGCAATTCCTTTAAAGCGCGTTTAAAGTTTTAGTATTTGACATCACGGTAGACTTTTAACAAAAGAAACTCTGGAAATATTTTTTTTTATTTTTAGTCGAAGTTTTTTTGGTTATTTGTTTAGTTTTTTTTTTTTTCTACTTTTAATATTTAAAAAGATATTAAAAATCTTAAATATTTTATGCTGGTTCGTTGCTATAAATTGTTATTGCGCTATATATTTAATGTTTATAAATTATGAATATTTATTATCTCAATCAAGACTCTGATAAAAAAATGTTTTACATTAATTACCCGTATAAAATTATTATCTCAATTATAAGACTCTGATAAATAAATGTTTTGAATTAATTACCCGTATAAAATTAGTAACAACATTTTTATTTCGTTAGACGATATTTTGTCTCAATTTGCTTGGGGAAGTCAAACGAAAAAAATTAGTTTGAATAATCACGTCGAAATATATTTAAAACAAATTATTTAAATGACGGGGGTACTAAAGTCTTTTTATAACAAAAGTAGGTAAAAAATAAATAACTAATTAAAAAGTTCAACAATAAATATCTTTTTTTTGTTATATTGCAACTGTAATTATTAAAATATTAACTTTAACTATATTTACTTATTATTTAGAACGACTTAGCAATAAATAAAAAGCCCCTAAAATTATGCGATACTGTGTTTATTTATTCTAAGATCAGAAAAGCCCCTAGGAACGTATTTGTTCCTATAGTAGGTAAAATATGTTAGAGTAAAAACAAAATTTTATTGTGTGACATTCAGAACTACCCAAATTTTGCGAGAGAAAGTCAGACGTCACATCGTCTATTGTTTAGTAAAATTTTCATTAGGTGTTTTCACAAATTACTGCACATAAATTGGGAAATACCAAATATAGTATTTTTTAACGCGCGTTGCGATATTTTAACAATTTAAATTACTACCCGTCTTGAGTTGTTGCCATTAATTAATGTGGTCATTATTGCGTTAATATTTATAATAATAATTTGTCTGTATTTTTGTTAAATGTTAATTGTATAAAACGGGCAAAAATATACGTACTTCATGTTTTCAATTTGATGGTTATAAAGTATAGAACAGTAAACTTATTATTTAAAATTCATAATGCCGGCTTGTGCTGTTATTGCTATTATTTATTTTTGACGCATTAGCCATAACAACATTAAAACTTTCATATCTGATACTACTGACAACTGTATTGTTTGGTGTGTTCTTGTTCTTTTTTTTCATAACCTTAACAGGTTTTTTTCATAACCTTAACAGGTTCTAATTGGTATGGAGTTGCCGACATTTCAAAAGTTTCGTTATCAAAAATCAAATGCAAAATGAAATGATTTTTTTTATCTATATCCAATTTAGCAAGTTCAGCAATTTAAATTTAATCGGCGTAATCAAAAAAATTTTATAATAAAAAAATTTAACAGTTTATCAAATATCTTTAATTAAATGAAAGCAATTGCTTGTAATTACTTTTTTTCGATGGAAAAACAAAAAACTTCATAGCGTAAAAATGACCAGAGAAGTTAGAAAATAGTTTTGATTGTTTAATGTAAGATTTAGAATATATAATACTGCGCTCTCTTGCACAAAAACGAGAGACCGTATCTATAATGTTCTATATAATGTAAAATACTTGTAAGAAAATCATAAGATTGATAAGTAAAGCTTTAATATTTGTTTTAATTTAAAAACAAAAGAAATATAAGTAAGATATATAAGTCGAAAAATTATTAAGATATCTGTAAAAAACAAGTTGCTCCTATAAAATAAAAATAATTTATCATTTTTTCTTTTTACAAATTTTTTTTTGCGATGTTTAGAAATATAATACAAATAAACTTGTTTTGCTGTATGTTAAAAAAATACTACAGTAGAAAAACGCAGCTTAGTTTAATTACACTTTTCTTTTGTTAAAAGTCTACCGTGACGTCAAATACTAAAACTTTTATGAATTAAACGCACTTCAAAGGAATTGCCAAAGTCTGTAGATTGCGACGCATAATTTGAAGACTCCGAGTAGTTGAAAAAAATGGAGAAGACAAGCTTCGGCAAAAACAACAACATTTGTTTTTCACGGTATGCATTCATTATTTATTTTTAATCAAAAAAATTTGGTTCAAACCTTTTTTTTAACATTATCTTTAATATGAACACAACATGTGTTGGGAGTTTGGGATCCCTTTAAGGCTATCACTCTCAACATTTCTATAGCTTTTGATAAAGTTTGAAATGCTGGTCTTCTCTATAAGCTTTCTTCTTATAGCATACCGGGTAACATCTTTAATATTATCGAACACTTCCTTACCAATTGGAGTATAAAGGTTGCTCTCAATAAACAGCACTCTTCTTCATATCCTGTAGTTTCAGGGGTTCCTCAAGGTTCTATCCTTAGCCGTATACTCTTTTTAATTTACATTAACGATATTCCAGAAATTCTCACATTTAAGGTGGCATTGTTTGCTGATGATACTACCATTTATTCTTGTCTTGATAAGAAGCCAAGATCTTCCTATACTTATAAACAGTAATGTATTTGATGAGTTATCTACCCTTCATCTCTCATCCTTTGTACTCTGACTGTTCCTAGGTACAAACAAAATTCTTATTCATCTAGTTTTTTTCCACAAACATCAGTCCTTTGGAATTCGCTTCTTTCACCTTGTTTCCCTGATTGATATAATTTGCAATCTTTTAAGTTGTCTGTTAATCATTATCTTGCTCTATAAATTTTATCATTTCTCTTCCAGTAACTTCCAACTCTAATAGTTGTTGCTTGCAAAAAAAAAAAAAAAAAAAACATATATGTATGTATGTGTATATATATATATATATATATATATATATATATATATATATATATATATATATATATATATATATATATATATATATATATATATATATATAAGGAGAAAATCCAAGGAAGTTGCTGCTACATTGACTGAGGGTTTGGGTTAGTGTAACTATAAATTTTTTTTTAAATTTTCTTTTTTTTTTTTTTTTTTTTTTTTGAAAAATACATTAGATTGGCAAAAAAAGTTGATAAATATATGTATGTATGTATGTATGTATGTATGTATGTATGTATGTATGTATGTATGTATGTATATAGGTATGCAGCCCTCGGAGTTAGGGTTGCCATTTGGCAATGCCTACCTAAAAGTGTTTGAGGTCGGCAAAAAATCGCTGAACTCATTTCTGTGTTTTATAACCCCTTGGTGTCAAAATTTTTTTCTGACCTGATGCCGACCTCTAACAGTTTGAGGTCAGTAATCTATTGCTGCCCTCATTTTTCTTTATTCCAAGGGTTGATGTATATAGGTACGTATGTATATAAAATAGTCATAATAAAAATACCTACCAAACCAAAAGAATGAAAACATTGTTGAATTGAAGTTACACAAATTTTATTCGTTTCAACTTGGAGCATACAAACATAAGGATATACCAAAACAAGCTCTAATATCTTTGATATGTCCTCCTTTGTTAAATAAGATGGCTGATTAAAATAGCAAGATGGATACAAAATCTGAAGTACACATCTAACAAGATACTGATACTTTGTCAACAAATTCTTATCTGATAAACTATTTTTAAGAAAGTTCACATTGTATGAGACATATTGAAAAGAATCATGTTCCACAAAAAGTCTCAGATCATCTAAAAAACATTTGATATGCTTTATTAAGCTAGTCTTTGCTGAGGTAAAAAGATAATCCTGGTTTTCTGGAGGTAAGATTTGAGAGTACTCATATGAGTATGAAAGCTCCTTGAAAATAAATATAACAATAAATTAAAATTAAAAAATTAAAAGAACTTGTATGATAAATGCAAGTAGCAATTGATAAATGCAAGTAGAAAGTAGCAGTTTTCTGTTAATAAATAGAAAATAGCAATTATTTAATAAAAAACCTTTAATAATTAAAAACATACTAAATCACTTTTTTTACTCTTTCGAACATCTCGAAAACTTGTTTCCCTTAATAGTGTCTCTAACAAGACCACACTAAATTTCTAAAAAAAGAATTTGTTTTTTGTTCATGAAAACAATTATAGTTTGAAAAATTCCTTAAAAATAAAACCAAGAAAAAACCTGATTTTCTAAGATACCATTTGCAACCTGATTTTTCAAAGAACTCAACAAATAAATACTACAAACGGCTTCTTGTTCATTTCCTGGGTCACAAAAACAAAGCTTTTGTACAAAATCAACCATCCAATTCTGAAAAAACAACTGAAGATATTAATAACAATAAAAAAACTTAATTAAAAACAAAATCTCTGATTTCTCTAATCAATCTCTGATCAGTTAATAATAAACAATAAGTACCTCATCAATGGTTAAGAAACAATAAGTACCTCATCAATAGAAAACTTCTTTAAATCCACAGCCACTAAGTCTAAAGGATGAGAAACTATCTTTTCTGATACTTTTTGTTTTGTCACTCTTTTAATTAATGAGCAAAGCCTCGGATATCTATAACATTTTAAATAACTTTTAACAAACTTTACACATTATTTTAGATAAAAAATTATGATGACTTGCAAAATAAACTCCATTTGCAACTCTTTACTGTAAATGTCATCTTGTCTCATTTCTTAAATGTCATCTCACTATGTCTTTTTAAATTTTATCTCATTTTTTTAAAATGTCATCTCATTTCTTATATGTCATCTCATTGCATTTTTTTTTTAATTTCTTTTATCTTATTTTTTTTTTTTTAATGTCATTTTATTTCTTAAATGAACACATAAAATATCAACATAAAAAACTGTTTTTGATTCGTTTCCCTTGGTTTCTAGGTTTCTATTTCATGTCTACTTATTTAAAAGAGTGGTTTAAAAAAAGTATAAATTACTTTAATTGAAAACCTCTAAAAATGAGTTCATTCTTGTAAATTTGATTAACATTTTTATTCATTTTTTTAAAATTGTTTCTCTTTTATCCTGCTAATATCAATCCTATTTAATTAAGTACCAAAATGATAAACTCACACTTTTGATCTTAATTTTTTTTAATATTTTGAAATTTTACAAGAGAGTTGTTCCTAATTTTTTGATAAAAATTCCTGTGTTCATGAAGAATTTTGTTATTTTAACTACAATACAGCTGCACACAAGGGGAGGTGGGCTAAAATAAATGATTATACTACGCAGAAAATTAAGGACCAAACCCTACAAAATTTACAATGAACTTCATCTAAATGGATGTGTTAATATGTTTTCTCAAAAAACTTATAAAAAATATAGTTTTTAAATAAAAAATTGCAAAAAAAAAAAAGTTTTAAATAAAAAATTGCAACTTCGAAAAAGCTAATAACAAATGTTGATATTAGTTTTTCCAGCATATTACAACGCATATCAACTCCATATTAGTCCAAATGTGAGAATTATTAAAACAATAAGTTTTATCAAATTGCAGTTGTTTATCATAGACAAAATAAAGACATTTTAATGCTTCAGACAAATTCTTTAAAAAAAAAAAAACTTTTTAAAAAAAAATTCTTTTTTTTAAAAAAGAATTTTTTTTTTCAACATCTTTGCTTCCAACAAGGCTGCTAGCAACCACTACTACAGTTGGAAGTTAATGAAAGAAAAAAGATGAAGTTTAAAGAGTATGATAACAATTGACAGACAACTTAAAAGATTGCAAATTATATGAATCAGGAAAGCAAGATGAAGGAAGCAAATTCCAAAGAACTGATGTTCGAGGAAAAAAATAAGAGTTTTTAGAGTACTTAGGAATAGTCAGAGAAAAAGGATGAGACTTTAAAATCAGTAAAAAAAATTAGCCACTGCATGGTTATAACCCTCTCTCAACTCTATAACTCCGAAACACGAACTTTGACGAACAAGGCCGCTGTGCTGAGAACCAAGCTGAGCGCGGTACTACCAGGGGATCAAACTTGGAACCTCTTGCTTATAAAGCGAGTGCTCTACCACTACAGTGGTGTAGCGGTAGACCACTTTATTTATTTAAAAACACTTTATTGTGTCTTTTATTTAACGAAACATTTCATTTACATTTTATAAACTGAGAATTCTGATTTTTACCTTTTGTTATGGATAGCAACATCAGAAAATTTTTCCAAATTTTCTATAGGAAGTTTGTAATCCTAAAATGATAAAAAACATATAAAAATTGAATATTTTTAAATAAACAAAACAACAACAACAAAATTAAATAAAACTAGCCTGATCATCTAGTGATTGAAGGTATTCCATTCTTCTACAGGCTAGTGTTTCTGCTTTTCTTGCAAGTCCATATATTTTAATAGAAGGCAACAAAGATAAAAGAAAATAAATAACATTTGCTGATAAACCCAATTCCACATGTTCTAATAGAACCAGAAGAGATTTCATAATTAGATGCTAAATAAATAATAAATAGAAGTAATTAGAAAATAATTTAAAATTTAATAAAAAAATAGTTGAACCAAATAAAATGAAAAAAAAAGAAACTAAAAACAACAACAAACCTTTTCCATTATGGTAGATACTGCATCAGATAACATGGAAAGCAAACATTGAGAAAGAGCAGTATTTCGAAGAATAAAACTAATGCAGAAAAATAATATAAAGAATAAGAATAAAACATAAAAATAAACCAATTAAAACTAATTAACTAACAAAATAAAAAAAGTATTAGAACAAACTTTTAGTACAAACTCATTATTATTAGAACAAACTCATTTATTTACAAATTAAAAAAATATAACAATTTTTAATAGTTTTCAATTGTATGCCTATATTGACCTGTTTCAATTGTATGCCTATATTAACCTGTTCCATGTTCTGCTGCCTTGCAGGATTTGCTATCTAAGCAAAGGCTGGAAGGAGTGTTCTTCCTATCATCAGTACTATCTTATATCAGTCATGCCTATAGTAATTTTTTTTTTTTTTTTTTTTTTCCATATAGTTGGAGGTGCCTTAGTTACTGTATTAGCTCACCTGTAATCTACGTTATATGTATGTTTGTGTTCTGTCTGAACCTCTGGCGCGGTGTTCGCTCACCCGTAAGTTACTTTATGTTCTTTATGTATGTCTGTGTTCTGTCTGAACCTCTGGCGCGGTGTTAGCTCACCCGTAAGTTACTTTATGTTTTTTATTTATGTTTGTGTTCTGTCCGAACCTCTGGCGCGGTGTTGACTCACCCGTAAGTTGATTTATGTTTGTTTGTGTTCTGTTTATACTCTAATGCAGCGTGAGCTCAGTAACTAACTATTTACTCCAACTACAAAACCTACACTCACCTTAGACTCCTGTATTTTGTTAGATGCAGTGTTTTTCCTAATGCACTTCCAAAATGTCATGCCTGGTTTTCTCAAAGTACTGTTGCGGGAAGTAACTCCTTTTAACTACTCCAGGTCAGGTCAGGATAATCGAGATCAATCTTGCTACTGGTATCACGTAACCCAGTACCACCTGTCAGAGAGGCTGATTCCATCAACAGCTGCAAAATATCAGAGTATTAACAGTGCCATGTTGCGCATGGATGGTGTCCCTGTTAATGCTTTTGGTGTGCATTGTCAAGGCCACATAAGGAGCCCTATGTCACGGCTTAGGGTTAATTAACAGGACTGAGACAACTGCATAGCTCATTGATTAGGAGGCTGTGCTCTATCTATGAATGAGTCTAGTTCTCATTAAACCCAAATCATGACCAAAGTAACCAAAAATTTAAAACCTAAAAAACCATCCCCACCAACTAAATATTTTAATATATCTTTTACAAATATTCGCGGTCTACGAAGCAACTTTCCATCAGTTGAGTCTTACCTCCTGCAAAATTCACCAGACTTGCTTGCACTCAGTGAAACAAATTTAAGTTCTGCAATTCCTTCTTCAGATGTCAGTGTTGATGGGTACTATCCTTTGATTCGCAAAGACTCCAATAGTCACATGCTAGGTTTGGGGGTTTACATACGTATTAATTCCCCTATTTGTCGTGAAATCAGGTTCGAATCCTTTGACCATTCTTTTATGTGCTTTCGCCTAGCACCTCTTCACTCTATCACCTTTCTCTTTACTCTTTATCGTTCTCCTTCTTCCCATGATTGCACTCTTTTAGATGTTATCTCTGATCAAATTGACCATGCCCTCTCTCTTTACCCCTCTGCCAATATTGTTGTTGTTGGTGATTTTAATGCCCATCACACTGAATGGCTTGGCTCTAACACCACTGATCCTGCTGGCACTAAAGCCTTTAACTTCTGCGTTTCTCAATCTCTTACTCAGATAGTTAACTTTGTGACTCGTTTTCCTGACAACCCTAATCATTTACCTTCACTCCTTGACTTATGTCTTGTCTCTGACCCTAGCTTATGTTCAGTTTCTCCCTTTTCTCCCTTAGGTGGTTCTGACCATGCAATGATCTCTATAAATCTTTCTTCTCGTACTTCTTTTTTGGGCTCACCTTATCATCGCACCACCTACTACTACCCTAAAGCTGACTGGGATTCTTTTCGTGATTTTCTTCGTGATGGTCCTTGGGCTGATGTTTTTTCTCTCTCAGCTGACAAATGCGCCTCCTACATAACCTCCTGGATTCAGGCTAAAATGGAAGCTTTTATTCCTTCTCGTCGGTTTCAAGTCAAGCCTCATTCTACTCCATGGTTTTCTCCTTCTTGTGCGGCTGCTATATCCAATCGTAATCATTTTTTTCATCTTTTTCAAAAGAACAACTCTCTTGAGAACAAACAGCTATTTATTATTGCAAGAAATCGATGTAAAAAGGTGCTTTCTGATGCTAAACTCCATTATTCTCAGTTCACTAAATCTCGCATCTTATCGCAGAAGTTAGGCTCTAAAGACTTTTGGAAAATCTTCAACAGCATTGTTAACAAGGGTAGATCTAACATTCCATCTCTCATTCATGGGACTGATCTTGTTACCTCTCCCAGGGATAAGGCAGAACTGTTTGCAAAGAACTTTTCTTCTAATTCCACTCTTGAATCTTATGGACATTCTCTTCCTTCCATTCCAGTCAAACAGGTTGACCCATTGTTAGACATTCAAATCACTCCGGCTTCTGTTGCTAAAGTCATATCTCAATCAAACTCGTCTACAGCTTGTGGTCCAGACAACATTCCTGTCACAGTCTTGCAGAATTGTTCTCCAGAACTTTCTTCAATTCTCTCTAAACTATTTAACAAGTGTTTGACTGAGTCTTGTTTTCCTGCTTGTTGGAAAATGGCATCTGTGGTTCCAATATTCAAAAACTCTGGAGAAAATTCTGACCCCTCCAATTATTGTCCGATCAGTCTTCTTTCTGTTATTAGCAAGGTCTTTGAGTCTTTGATCAACAAATTCCTAACATCTCATCTTGAGTCAAATAAACTACTTTTAGACAATCAATACGGTTTTCGATCCTCTCGCTCTACGGCCGACTTGCTAACTGCTGTAACTGAAAGATTTTATTGTGCATTAGATGGAGGCAGTGAGGCTAGGGCTATTGCTCTCGACATATCTAAAGCTTTTGACAAAGTTTGGCATGCTGGTCTTCTCCATAAGCTTGCTTCATATGGTGTTTCTGGGAAAGTTTTTGAGATTATCAAATCATTTCTTTCTAACCGGTTTATTAAAGTCATCCTTGAAGGCCAACACTCTTCTTTATTTCCAGTAACTTCTGGGGTTCCCCAAGGTTCCATCCTGGGCCCTGTTTTGTTTCTTGTCTACATAAACGATCTTCCTGACAACCTTTCATCTAAAGTAGCTCTTTTTGCTGATGACTCAACTTTATAATCCTGTCTTGACAAAAAGTCTTCTCTTTTCGATCGCCTAGAACAAGCAGCTGATCTTGAATCTGATCTCACTTCAGTAATAGATTGGGGTTCACAGTGGCTTGTGAATTTCAACTCTAAAAAAACCCAATTGCTTACTGCAAACAACTACCGTAATATGGTCAACATTCCTATATTAATGAATGGCAATCCTCTTACTGAGTCCTCCTCTTTACGTCTTCTTGGATTATCGCTTACTACTGACCTTTCATGGAAACCATATATACAATCGATTGCTAAATTAGCTTCTGCTAAGGTTGCTTCTCTTTATCGTGCTCACCATTTCCTTACTTCTGATTCCATTCTCTACCTCTACAAATCTCTTATTCGTCCCTGTATGGAATACTGTTGTCATATTTGGGCTGGTTCTTCTAACGATTCACTTTCTCTTCTTGACAAGGTCCAAAAACGCATTGTAAATATTGTTGGACCTGGACAATCTGCTAAGCTTGAACCTCTTTCCCATCGTCGTAAAGTTGCATCTCTTTCTCTTTTCTACAGATACTATCATGGTCACTGCTCAAAGGAGTTATCATCTCTAGTTCCATCAACTAAAATTCATTCTTGTTTTACTCGTCATTCAGCTAAGTCTCATTTGTTTACTGTATCTGTCCCTGCATGCTCTAAAAACTTTTATTCATCTAGTTTTTTTCCCCGCACTTCAATCCTTTGGAACTCTCTCCCATCTTCATGTTTTCCTGACTCGTACAACCTTCAACTTTTCAAGTCTTCTGTCAACCGTTTCCTTGCTCTATAACTCTGTTCTTTTTTTTCTTCCTAGTAACTCCCAACTTAATAGTGGTTGCTTGCAGCCTTGTTGGGAATGAATTCAAATAAATAAAAAAAAAAAAAAAAAAAGCATAGATACATATAAAAAGCACATACTCAATAAGCTGTTTCACAGGACGCTCACGAAGGTTAAGCAACAAATTAGATGCATTATTTGTTAAAAAAGTGTTTACTGAGGAAAACTGAACAACTTTCATTTCCTAAATGTAACACAAAGTTAGTAAATGTAAAACAAAGTATAGAAATTTCTAAAATAAAAGTTTAACAGTCTATCATATTTTAGAAATACCTTAATATAAAACATAAATTAGAAAATAAATGCATAAATTAGTAAATAAATGCATAAAATTGATAATATGTAAAAACGACTTTGATTACACATAAAAAATGTAAAACAAATATAATTGTCTCCTACAAGAATCTCCTACAAGAATCATCATATACAAAAATATCTAGTACAAGAAAATCTAGTACAACTACACCCATTCCAAAATCACAAGGGTATATTTATTATTATTTGGTATATTTATAATAAATCTTATGAAATAACTATATTTATTATTAAACTGGTATACCGGTATATCATATTAAACCGCTATACTGGTATACCGGTTTAATAATAAATGTAGTCATTTCGTAAAAGATTTATTTTTATGTAGTAAAATGCATAAATAAAAATTTTAATATTTGATAAATAAAAAATTATGTAAAAATAAATATTTTTATATTTGATAAATTTGAAATTATGTAAAGATGTTTTAATATTTCATAAATACAAGATTATAGAAAAATAAAAAATTAAATCGTATTTACCAAATAAGTTGAAATGAGACAAAGTTGTAACAAAAGACTTCAAATGTAATCAATTTGTTTTTAAATGTGACCAATTGTGTCAAACATTATCTTGAATACCCATTAAAAATTGTCAAAAAAATGGACTTTTGTCTTATAAAAGAAATCCAGTGTCTCAAATCTCCTGCTATGCTAAAAATATATTCTGCTGGTAAACATGTTGCTGGAATTCCAAATGTTTACCTTGCAAGTCTACTTAAAAATGGAAATCATTTAAAAATAAATTATGATCTCTTTGTATGCTCAACAGATCAAAGAATTTTCATTAGTTAATAGTTTTTCAAGTTTTTTATAAATTTAAGATTTCATCTTCAAACAACAGCGTGCAAATTCAAAGCCAAGCTGTAAAGTATAGTTTACAAAAGTGCTGTCATCATCATAATCTAATCCCTTGAAGCTTAATAGTTTACTCAGTTTTGTGGTTTGCCGTAATTGTTGTTTAATAGATTATGTTATTAAACACCTTTATAACAAATGCAATAACTTCTGTTAAAACCATTCTTTTTATAATAAATTACAACCTTATTTCTTTTGATTACCTAAAATTTCACATGAAAGCATGGACCATTGAGAGATAAAAAGACAAAAATTCTTTTCTAATATTTTTATTTTTTAAAAATCTTTCTCTTAAATTGTTTAAAAAAATATCTAGGATAAATATTGGTCGTCATATGTTATATAAGCATTATAAAGTTTAGCATAGGGTAAACAAAATACTAGCAACACAGTTTGAAAGAGATAATATAATGTCCTTTGCAATCTGCATTAACTTTACTACTTTAGTTAAAGCATTATCATTATCTGTATTTTATATTTCATCTTTTAACTTAGCAATTGAGAGCGCTATAAAAAGTCCTTTTATTATATAACCCTCTCAAACATATCTAATGTACTGTTCCAACATGTAGCAACACTTTGAACTAATCTATGTCTAAATAAAACAAGATTTTTTGGGTTTTCTTGTTATATTCTAGTCGCATTAAGAAAAAAAAGTCACTACTTTTCTAAGTACTACAGAAATATGGTGTGAGGTGTGTGTGTGTTGCATCATATTATTCAAGTAAAACTTTAACTGTCTTTGGTAGTTAAAATAATAAACAGCATTAAGCCCAGCACTTTACAAAGTAGGCAATTTGAGGCATTTCTCAATGAAAATGACACTGGTCTACTTTATTATACTGAGATGGTTTTATAGAAGTTATATGCTGAAAAAAACTTTTGATATGAGACAAAAGATAATAGATTTGAAAAAAAGTATAAAAAAAAGGATTATCCACCAGAGATAGAAGAAGTCTGCATTTCTTGGAGACCTAACCTAACAAACTTAACAAAGAACTCCAAGAAAAATCAGGGTATAAACTAGCCCTTAGGAAATTTCAATTCTCAAGAAGTTTTGTCGAAGAGACATTTTCGCAGTTATGCAATCGCATAGTTATACCAATAATGGCGATTTTATTTCAAGTTTTACGCAATTAATGAATTTTTCTATTAATTTTTAATAAAAATTAATTTTCAATAATTTTTAGAATTATTATTAAACTTTAATTTGGCAAACTTTATTTAGAGAATCGAAGTTTTTCATCTTTAAATGAGAATTCAGGAATACCGCATTTGACAGGGCGCCACAGCATTTTTAGGGATTTTCTCAGCAACTTGCTAGTAAAATTAATTTCTCATAATTTGCAAATAATTTTTTGCAATGCATTCCAACATCAGCAAATATTATATAAAAAAGTTAGCAAGAAATAATGTACTAATCTAAAAAATCTAAAATAAAAACAAATTTTTTTGGTTTAACACCCGCAAATGCTATTTCTTTAAAAATTTCTCCATTTTCGGCTGAAAAGTTGTTAAGTCTCAAACTCAACTGCAAGTAGTACATGTGATCCATCTACAAAAATATTGAGAAGCCGTTTTTTCAAAACTTTAATCATCTATGCATACTACAGTAAAGATCATCCATAAATTATGCAATGTAAAATATATTTAAAAAACAGAAGTTGGAGATTCTTTTACAATTTTCATTAAACTGAATATGAGAATATGAGAGCTCTTTTACGATTTTCATTAAACTGAATGGGGCTATTTTGATTTTATATTTAAATTAAGACTCTGCTAGGAAAAACTTTTGATCTTTTTTGTTTTATTTATTGTGAAAGTTTGCGTTACGTAATTTATGGACTATCCCTAAGTCTTTTAGTTATTATTTTTCATTTTTTTTGTTTGGTATTTTATATCAACTGAATGAGGTGATCATATCAACTAAAATCTTTTTTTACTTATCTACTATTAATTCACTTACTTTTTTAAAAGACTACCTCTGAATTATAAGTTAAATACAAAAAAATGTTTAATGATTATAACAAACTGGTACAAATTTATTGAACAAGGAAAAAAGACTAAATTTATGTTCAATGAAAATCTCTGCAGAGATTTTCATTGAACATAAATCGCTATACTACTATATTACAGTGAAAAAGAAATATATATTCAAAAGAATGCTTTTGAAATGAAAGCGGCAACAATATATTAAGATTGAAAATAAATCAACTATATTATTTTCAATAGTAATTAATTAATATACACTGATTATTTTATAATAGAAAAATATATAATTCCTAATATATGTTTGGAAATCGGAGCTTAATTTACATTGTGGTTATGAACCACGTTTAATTTTGTATTTATTTCATATTTATCTTCAATGTTACAGACAGTATTTTATTTTATTTTTAACGCTGTCCAATCAATGTATGCAGTGCTGAAGTGGAGTAGAAAAAATATATATATAAGAAAAGGACCCCAAGCATTCCTGAAACACATTTTAATCTCAGCAGAGGGATGTGTGTGTGTGTGTGTGTGGGGAGGGGTGATTACAAAATATTTTGAAAAACTCCCAATTTCGTTAAACGCTATCAAATTTATTTCTGGTTAACACCCTGAAAATGTACAATCTTAATCTAGCTTTTCAGTTGAAATTAACTTTGTAGGAGTAGTAATTAAAGAATGGAAATTTTAATCATTTTTAACCTTGGGTAAGCTGAATCCTGGAAACACAGCACAATTTGTTACCTGTTTTGCAGATATTAAAAAACATGCTTACAAAATCAAACTGTTCACAGTACCATTCAGTGTTGAGAATGGCACTTTGAAAATTCTTGTTGATTGTAACTGATCCAGAAAATTTCCAAATGCAGTTAATTAATGTTTAATGCAGTTAAGTTTTGAGAAGAGGCACATAATCAACAAAATTTGATGGTATTTAAAAAAAATCTTGACCAAAATAAATACAGCAACTTAGTTGACAATGCAAAAATGATGGGTGTCTTGGTCAGTAGCATGTACTTGTGTGAAAGTGTATTTTTTCTGATGAAATTTGCATAGTCTATCTGCACTGACAGATATTATCTGTACTGACAGATACTATCTGCACTAACAGATACTAACTTGCAAAACACTTTGGGGACCCCAACCAGTCAGTTGTCAACTGACATTAAAAATATTGTGAAAAAAGGACAGGTTTATAATTTCCAATAAAGTATTATTTGTACTATACCTAACAGCTAGTTAGTATATATGTGTTTTAACAGCTAGTTAGTATATATGTGTTTTAACAGCTAGTTATATGTGCATGATATTTCTTTGCGAGATTTCATTTAATAAATTTAAAAAAATCGATATTTTTAAAAATATTTTCAAAAATCTCTGTCCCTCAGTTAACAGCTAAAATAAACAACTTTGACCTTCATCAAAAGAAGTTGTGGCCGCCCCTGTCATATATGTAAATGGTAAGTAATTTAAGGTCTCAAACAAAAATACCATGTTATATCCAAATCAATTAATACATAATCAAATTATTTAAATTATTGTTGCATTCCTAATTAATATATTAATAGCCATAAAAAAAAGTTGAAGACATCATGAATGTTATATGATTGTAAAAGTTAAATGTTATAGTTGTACCTCGTACATCATGAATGTATGAGATAAAAGTTAAATGTTATATGATGGAGGTAAAAGATGGAGTTGAATTATGAAGGAAGAGAAAATCATGTATGTGTAGGTTTATAATTAGTGAATAAAATATTTGTGTTCTTTATTAACAAAAATGAAATCAAAAAATTAATAATTATAAAAATAAAAACCAATCAAAATACATTTCTAAATAAAAATTTAAATAATAAAATTAACCTTTAACTTCGCAGTCATTAAATCACAATGCAATAAAAATGTGGCTTGGTCAATTAAGTCGAATTTCCATGTACAATAATGTTTTTCTTTTGTATGATTCATGCACTGCATCCAAAAATCAAAGTTCATTAAACCTAATGAATGAATAAAATAAACCCATAAAAGGAATAGTTGAGGTTCCAATGATTTAATTCCTGATAGTTTCATTGTAAGTTGGATATGTAAGCTTGAAGTATTTGGAGTTTTTGATAAAACCAACAAAGAAAGGAGTACAGATGTAAGCTTTTTGAATGAGCCTAAAAATATTGTAACACTTTAAATAAAACATTTGCAAAATAATAATTAAGTATATTAAATAATTAATTATAATCTTTATAATTGTAATTATAAGTGCAAGTTCTTATCATATTATTGGCCACCTCCAAATGACAATTCTTGGTTACCTCAGTTACATTCTAAATCGTTATCATGATTAGGCATGGAGATGCATAAAAAAGAAGACATTTTTTATTTTATAAGAAGCAGCAGCAAACTTCCCATAATCAAATTTTAAAGGCATGCAAAATATTTATTATTAGCAAGGTAAGATAGAGTATATAGCAGATATCAGAAGAAGTCTAAATCTTTTCCCTTCCCCTTATAAATACCCAGAAAGTCTTGTGTTTTTGAAATGATTTGATTTTAATTATTGTTTTCAGTTTCAACATACATACACATACATATATACATATACATATATATATATATATGTATATATATATATGTATATATATATATATATATACATATATATATATATATATATATATATATATATATATATATATATATATATATATATATATATATACATATATATATATATATATATATATATATATATATATATATATATATATATATATATATATATATATATATATATATATATATATATATATATATATATATATATGTATATATATATATATATATACATTGCTTGAAGTGAAGAAAAAAAAGTAAAGGGATAGTATTCGGTAAATTAAAAATACCATCCCGTCTAATGATTGTTATATATAGAGATTAATAAAAAGTGGCGGGATGGTTTATACTTTATAAAAAGGTGAGGGGATGGCATCCCACCTCACTTCGAGCACTGTATATATATTAGGCATATGACTTATAAACTTTTTGAATAAAAATTGATTTCCTGGGGTTTCAGTAGATGAACTTTTATATGTAGATTGCATTTATTATTCCTTTGGTGAAAAATTATGAAAAAAGGTGGCGCACCCATAAGCATCTTTTGATAACATCACTACACAGTATAAAACTTTAAACAAATGGCGTTATATAATTATATTGCGCTAGATGTAGGCAATGTTTTATACCTTAAATGTTAACTTCTTATTGCTAATTAAAGCTAATTATAGTTTTAACAATCTGCCTTTAACCAATAGGCTTACACTTTCGAAATTTCAAGTAAATTAAAAGTAGAGTTTTTTATAGTTTGGCTTTATAAGTTTCGATTTTTCTCATCTGCTTTTGACTAACTGCTTTGTTGTTTTATCGAAGAAGCTATTCTTACAAAAAAAGTTTAGATTTCATTTAGTTCATCAAAGACATGTCTAAACTATCACGCAACCTAGTTAATAAAAGCTCCAATGTATGGCAGCAGAAAATAAAAAGCAAAGTTGTCAGGCGTTCAGAAATACCTTTACGAGTTACTGAATTAAATCAACTCTGCAAAATGCCTCCTAACAGGGATATTTTTGGGTGTTTTTTGGGATTACATGATAAAATGAAAGAGAAGAAAATAAAAATAGAAACTATTGCAAAAGAACTGAATTTACTTTGGGATAAATTTAATTTTCCTGTCATATCAATGCATTGTGTCCACCCAAAAATTGCTAATTTAATTGATGCATATGTGAGATACAGAAAGAAAAAGGTAAGAGATTTTTGGAGGAATTAGCAAGTCTCTTTGATATAACCAAAACTGATGGAAATTGGTTGTCCTCTGAAGACAAACAACTTTACCTACAGCAGATTGAATCTCATGGTACTGTTGGATACACAACTGCGAAGCTTGCACTTGTCTCAACAATTCATCTGTCTAAACGTCGAAAAGTTATGCAATCTTCAGTTGAGAAACAAGTCATGGTAACTTCAGATGAATCTGCGCAAGAAACTGATGCTGAAATATCACCTGGTAATGATTTTATACCTAAAGTGGAAACAAAGAGGAAAAAATATCAAAAAACCAAGGCTGCTGCAAATCTGGTTACCAAATATTCTCTATCTACAAGACAATCATCCTGAGTCTGTTCTAGTCTAGCTGCTGAATGTTCTGCTAAGTTACCCACACCATCACAAACTGGAATATAGAAGAGAGTGGTCAGAGATGGAATTAGAAAGGCTGCTGAAACAAAACGCATTCTTCAGCAGGAAAATGATTTCTGTCTGCATTTCGATGGAAAGAAACTGTCTTCTAAAGAATATGAAGTTGTTTGCTTGCAAAGTCCTTCAAGGAAATTGAATTTAGGTATCATCGTATGTGAATCTGGTTCGGTTGCAAACGTATTTTCTGCATTGAAGAAGTTCTTAGATGACTTTGATGCATGGAAGAGTATTAAAATGATTGTGTGTGATACAAGAGCAGTCAACACTGGTAGCAGAAATGGAATAATCGCTCAACTTTATAAAGAATTTGAAAGTAGATGTATTATTAGACCGCAGAATTGGTTCTTTGACATTTACTTGACTTCTGTGTTCCAACAGTCTCACAGAAACCAGATATAAACTATGAGTTTGTTGATAACATTTGCAGTATGAAAACCTTCAGACAAAATATACAGCTGAAGTCGAAGCACCTGCTTCTGAAAATGCTGGATGGAGGAGTGATTTCAAGTTTCTGTTCGAACTTTGCGAGGCTTACAAAGTGTACAAGAAATGCGCTAAATTTCCAAAAATCAAGTGGTGAAAACTTCCTTCACTTCATAATGCGAGATGGAACTCTAGAGCAACATATGCTCTACTATCTTATTTTCTACTGGAAGAACATCGTAAGCAGCTTAGCAGTATCTGCAACTTTATATCAACTGTATGGGCATCAGCGTGGTTCTCTAATCAGCATTTCACTGAACACAGTTTTAAAGAATTGCATTCTGCTGTTTTAGAATTTGATTGCCAGAAATGAAAAGAAAGTGTTTCCAAGCGCATTAGGTAAATCAGCCTTCAGTCATTGACATTCCACAATCAAACATTGTCTGCAAAAGTGACAAGTACCTTAATGCTAAATTCTTAAACTCAAATTTACAATTGTGAACACTTAACAGTGACTAAAGTAAGCATATATTCATATGAAAATTTACAGGAGTTAAAATATTTACGACTTCCTGTAATTTAATTTTTTAGTATAAATTGAAGTTTTATAATTTGATCATTCATTTCTGATGAGTCTTTATAGATGAAAAACAGTGTAAAATAAAATAAATTTTTGTTAAGTGATTTTCTACAAATTTATATATATATATATATATATATATATATATATATATATATATATATATATATATATATATATATATATATATATATATATATATATATATATATATATATATATATATATATATATATATATAGCCCCTCAACAAAATGGTATTAATTTAGATAAGGTGCAATATGTGTCAACAAAATTTTGAACACCATTTCTAGCGCACTTACGTCAGAAAAAGACGAAACCATCCCATCCACATAAAATAGAACTGCCGTTTTTAAAAATAACATATAAACAAAAACAAACAAAAAACTTTTAAGCTGAACCCGCTTGTAAAAAAAAAAGTTTAGTATCGAGAGAAAATCGTATTTATTGATGTTTATAAAATAATTATATATATGTATATATATATATATATATATATATATATATATATATATATATATATATATATATATATATATATATATATATATATATATATATATATATATATATATATATATATATATATATATAAATTAGTGGATCAATTAACAGAAATTTTTTATTTAACACTGTTTTTCATCAATAAAGACTCATCAGTGTTAAATGAAAAATTTTTGTAGTGAAATTCTACTAATTCATTATTGTTTTGCTTTTAAGAGCACATTTTAAAATTGTTTATATATATATATATATATATATATATATATATATATATATATATATATATATATATATATATATATATATATATATATATATATATATATATATATATATATATATATATATATATATATATATATATCAGGCTTTCCCAGGAAAGGCGTGCGGTCGCACGCCTTGTTTGTCCACGCATAGAATAAATTTTTCAGAAAACGTGACCGTGGCAATTTTTCGTAAGAAAGCGGAAATTATCCACAGAAAATAAAAAATAATATTAAAAAAATGAAACAAAGTCTAAACAAAGTATAAAATTGAAATTGGATGTAAGAAAAATATTTTGATAATAAAAAAAAATTAAAAAAAAAAAATTCTTGTAACAAAAAAAAAAAAAGTCTTGAACATTTTTTTCAAAGTTTTTATACTGTTTTTGTTTTCTTTTATTAGGGTTGCTATTTTTAGCTACGAAATTTGATACAGTCAAGAAAAAGACGACCATAAGTCATAAAGTTTTCACGAAAATAAAAAGACTTGATACGTAATTTATTCACAAACTTTATCAGACAATGTATTAAAAAACTGATTCATTATTTTAGTTTTTATGAAGGTTTATACAAAGGCAATGACTTTATTCCCCAATATTTAGACAAGAAAATAAATTGCTGTTTTAATTATTAAATATATTATTTGAGATTTTAAACATAACAAATTTTTAATGTGAAAAAAGTTCTTTCTCGACTTATTCAAAACTGATTATACTGAGTCAATGCTCGCCTTTTATTACGTTGAAATTATTCAATTGCATAATTTTGGAATTACGAAAGAAGTTAAAAAAATAATTGCATTGCTTCTGTTGTCATTGTTACAAAAACATTTCCTTCGGGACATTATTATATATTAACACTCGTTCACATTGTCAATTAATGATTGCAAAATAAGCAACTCAATCGTTTGACAATAAAATTTTCTTTCATTTAAAAAAAAAAAAAACATATTTTACTAATAAATAGCAATCGTTTTTGTGTTTTCTTGCGTATCAATACATTCAAACATTAAAATCAATACATTTAAACATTTAAATGTATTTACGAAACATTTAAAAATTGTTTATAGTTCTAGCATGAATTTTAAAGTATTACTGACTGATAAAAGTCATAAACAAATTTTACATTAAAAGGTCCTTTTATTTTCTTTAAACATTAATCTTTTTCTTTTTGATTTGATTTTTCTTATTGATTTGATTTTTCATAGCTTAAATAACTACCACCCTAAAAAAATAAAAATATAAAATATAGGTAAATTTTTTTTTTAATAATATACATTAATTTTTTAATTTTAAAGCACAAACAGATTTCTGTTATTTACTTTAAGATTGCTTGCATTTTTACGGTATTTTCGTTTAGCTTTGTTTTGGCGCGAATTCTTGAAATGCATTATAATAAAACATGGTCAGTTAGTCAGAAAAATTTATTTTATGCGTGGACAAACAAGGCCTGCGACCGCACGCCTTTCCTGGGAAAGCCTGATATATATATATATATATATATATATATATATATATATATATATATATATATATACATATATATATATATATATTCATAAACAAAAAACTATAATTAAATAAAAAACAATACATGTTTCGACTAACACTAGTCATCTTCAGTTAAAAATAAATATTTAAAATTTGTTAAAATACCTATAAAGGTGTAAAAAAAAAGCAATACAAAATATAATTATTCTTGTACAAACTAATAATAATATAATTACAAAAATACAATAAAATCAGTATCATGTCATACAAAAAAATAGGAAGTAATAAAAGAATAGGTTAAAAAAATATGCAATACAAAAATTAGCACCTAAACAGAAAGTGTCATTTTTACATGGTTAACCATAACAGGTTATTCATGCCAGGTTTTAACATGGTTATTCATACCAGGTCAAACATGGTTATTTATACCAGGTTTTAACCATTCTATAAACATTCTTAAGCATTTAATTAGATTAACTCTGTACGAATATGGAGTGAAACTATAAAAATTAGTGTGAAGACCAGAATAGGTTTTTTTATGAAAAACGGTAGTGGTAACTGAAGAATTAGTTTTGTGTAGAGTTACGTCTAAAAAAGATATTTTTGAATTTACTTCTTGTTCCATAGTAAAAGAAATAGAATTGTGTCTACTATTTATATATCTAAGAAAAAGATGTGCATCATTTTCTGATTGGAAAGCAGCGCAAATGTCATCAACGTATCTTTTATAGAAAACTGGTTTTACATCATTGAAATTTTGATCCATATATTTTTATAATAAACCATGAACAAATTGGCAAGAACAGATGCCAGTGGAGAACCCATTGCTACACCATCAATTTGATCATAAATTTGTCCTTTAAAAAGAAAATATGTTTGCAAAGTGGCAAACTGGAATAGTTTTTTTAAATTAGTTTTAGTAATCCTAATGTTTTTATTATGGAGCAAAATTAAATTGACTGCAATTTCAATAGTTTCTTAAAGCGGAACATCGGTGTATAATCGTTACATTACATTGTTTTATAAGCTCATTACATCGAGCTAAATAATTTTTTAATAATATTATTATTTTAAAAATTTTTATATAATTTCGTTTCTTTTGATACCTAACATGACATACTTTTGGAAAACAGTTTTTTTAATATAATATTAGGGACCTGGTAACTGTTCAAGGGTCTGGTGCTCCACTTAAATCCAATAAAATTTAACAAAGTTACTTGTAAGAATCAATAGAAGGTTTTAAGAATATGAACAGAACTTTTTAACTCAGGAATATTTCCGGAAATTTTAAAAAAAAGATAAGTTATAATTAACGGGTAAAATTTTATGGTTTAATTAGGCAGTAGTTATGGACAATTTTATGGTAAAATATAGTGAAGAAGATTATAAAAACTTTAGAAATTTTGTAAAGCACTTTTTTTAGTATTTTTATTGTTACTATAAGTAGCAACTATAATAATTTATTTTCAAAATTTTCTAAAGCTGTTTTATCCTGTAATTTGCTTAGCATATTGATGTTAATTGCCATAGCAAGCTTTGCTTAAGACTTAGCATCACCTAACTGAACTGTGTCAAATACCCAACTAGCCAACTAAATTCATCAAAAAACCCGACTGTAACTTGAAAATCACTTCTTTGTGGGGGTAGCACAACCCCTTCTCCCCCACACCCTCCTTAAAAAACATTTTTGTATGCAATCTCTGTACATAAAAAAATCATTATTTCTTTAAAACACTCAACAAAAATAATACACAATAAAACTTGTTAATTTAAAAAAGATTTTATTTTTGTATTTTGTGAATATTTTACATCGTAGTTGACTAGAGTATAGGCTAGAATATGTTATACTCAAGCTCAAAAGACAAGCTAACTTGGAAAACATCTACTTTTTGTTGTTTCACAAAAGTAATGCATGTAAAAGTAACATATAACAACTTGAACATTTTTTTACTTTTTATAAAAATGCTTTTATAATCTTAAATTGATTACAAAAATATGACTAAAAGATGTGAATTTTTTACTTGTGGGTCTTTATTATTTTATATTTTTTGTTGAAATATTCAAAGAATACCCAAATACTACAATGATAAAACTCATATTTTTTAAACAAAGAATTTTATAAAACTGTATAACAACTATAAGCTAGTTGCAACAAAATTTTTTTTAAGAAAAAATCTAAATGTTGATAACAAATCAAGCATCTGACTGATGTTCTACCCGTTTGGTAGGACAAAATCTAGAATAACAAAGAGACTGCCTAAGATGGCTACTTGTTGAAACACTTTTTAGATAACCTAAAGCAATTATTTAATAATTGTTCTGCATAGCTTTAATTATTTAATAATTGTCCCACATAGCTTCATTTTATTTTTCCTAAAGTATTATCTGACAATATGAATAGTAGTACTAGTAGGAACAAGTTATATAAATATAAAACAATTATGTAAGTCTAAAAAATATTTTATTTTTAATAATGGAAACCTAAATAATATCACTATGTTCACTTTTGCTTTGTTCAACATTCTGGGGTGTTATATTCTGGGGCTATGCGACTATCAAATAACTAATAACATGTCAATTTTTTAAAAACTTGTTTAATTTTTTTTAATTTTTGTTTGAAAAACAATACTTATATTCCAAAAATTTATAAGAAAAAAAAAAAATTAACCTGATTTTCCGATATAAGTTAAAAGAGAAAGAAAGACACGAAGGGTTTGAACAAGTAAAGAAACATGTGTATTGTATATTGTAACTTCACCATAGCGTTGGCATACATTATTAATAGCCATGCTCAGTATGTTAAGAAGAAAAGCAGCAAGATAGTTTGTTGCAGCTGTATCACTGTCTATACTGCTTCCTGCAATTTTCTCTTGATCTAAAACACCACTAAATAATGTTTGAGAAGTATCAAATGATGGAATATGTGATAATATGATTTCTTCACTATTTTGCATTATTAAAGTTCTAAGAAGGGAAATTACAGCAGCAATCATTCGTATCTCTTCCTGGCATGTTGTCTATAATTATAATAAAAAAACAATATTAAAAAAATATATATATTCCTCAACCCTTTCCTCTCCTTTCTTCCCAAAACAAAACAAAAAAAAAAAAACAAAAAAAAATAAAGCACTAATTTAAAAAATTTATTTAACATTAAAAACATTAGAATAAATACTTTAAAGAAAGTTGCTACTTTATTCATATGTCTGAAAGTTGTTACTTTATAAATATAAATGTGAAACATGCAGGATATAACTATGTGATATATGTGAGATGTATATGATATATTTGCAAACAGAAGTTATATAAAAGTTTAGTGCAGATTTTTAATCAAAAATTTATTTATATAATTTATCTATTTGAAGTTTTTCATAAAAACCATTTCGTTAAAAAGTTATCTGTTATAAAATAAGGTACAACTAAATGTGACAAACTAAAATATATTTAGACAATAAACTACTGATCAGATTTACAAATATGTCCCCTGGACATTTAAGAGTAAATATCTAAAGTTTCATTCAAATCAGATCTTATGTAAAACAATGGCGAGACAAAACAGTCAATTTGCACACCAACTTGTGAATTATTTTGTAAGTTTTTTTAAGGATGCTGAAATATCACAAAAGAAAAAATGTGTAAAGAATAATGCAAAGATACAAAAATAAAATTAGAGTTGGATTTATGCATAGCTGACATTTAAATATATTTTGTGGAAAATAATTAATTTGTTGGTATATCCATTATAAATATACATTATTAACATACATCCATTATACATACCGGGGTAGTTAAAGTAAACATTGACTTCAGAATGATATCAGCAGGTCGAAGAGCCAAAGGAGCAACAGAATCAAATAGGTCAAAAAGCAAGTATAAGTCTGATAAGGTATCAACTGTTAACTACAAAAATATAAATATTAAACAATTTTGTTACTTATTTTTAAATATGGATTTAATATGATTTAATATTACCTCCAACTTAGCAAGACTTGGTAAAAGAGTATCAATTATTTGTCTAGATAATCGTTTCCATCTCTCATCATCTGCTTTTGAATTAATTAGGACATGTCTCAACATAGTAAGTACCTATGAACAAAAAAATATTTAAACAACTATTTATTAAAATTATTATTAAATTCTATTAATACACTTCTCACTCCACTATTTATAAGAGTGTTGTTTATAAGCAAAAATTGTTTTTTTTTTTTTTTTTTTTTTTGCTTAAAGCATTTACTGTAACTACTACTAACATAATAATTACAAATTAAACAAGTAAGCATTTATAAAAGAAGTTATAAAATATTCAAGTTAAATATAATATACTAAAATAATAAATACTAATATAGAAAGGAAATAAAAAAAATAAAGATAGAGAAAAAGTCATGCTTTCAGTATCATCACTTTCCATTACATCACTTGCTGCGTTTTTCCATTTTATGAATTACTTTAATATTTATAAAATTACAAATCGAATTTTTCACAGATCTTTCATTCTTTAAATAATTTTTAAAAAAATACTTATGATAACTTGTAATAAATAGAGTTGCTTGTAATAAATTTGTTTAAAAAAAAAAAATTAACTTTTAAGCTACATATATTTTTAAATTATGTTTTATAGACTTTTTTTTTTGAAGACTTAAATAAAATTATAAAAGCTCTTGCTAAATAAAAAAATGGACTTTTTAAAAACTTTTAAAAACACAACATTTATTAAAATAGATAACAGTTATTTTAAACATATTTGTTAAACATGCATGTTTGTAATATCTGTAACAGCTTTACAAGTTTATAATACTGTTATCTGTTTCATCAGTGATAACAATTTTTACTGCATTTTATACTTTACACTGATCATTTGAACAAGGAAACTAGCAAAAATAAGGGGAAAATAGTAAAACTAAAAATAAATAAAAAACCAGTTTTTAACTAAATCTTAATATCAATTGTTTTAATTTAATAAATAAAATACTTGTGGGTAGTGTATAACTCTGAGCAACATGGATACCACAACTTCTCGTTGAATGTCTAAATCTTTACCACTGTCTGATCTAACTTGACTTGAAGATCCAAATAAGTCTTGAACAATAGGTTTCAATGCAGGAATTGCTAAAATGAATTGCAATTTATGCATATGTAGCTTTATATTTTTTTATGTAAAAACAAAATATTGAGAATAATCAATAAAAAGTAAATATATAAAAAAATTATTTTAAAAATATATTAAAATGATAATTGAGAGAAAATTTGAAAGTAATAGAGTAAAACACTAAGAACTGCAAAGTTTAACTTTGCCAATTGAAATTAAAAAGAATAGTGCAATTCGTTTAGCAAATATTACTATTTGTTAAACAAATAGTATCATTTATACTATTTGTTTAGCAAATAGTACTTTTCATTTAGCGAAGAGTACTATTTGCTAAACCTATTTGAAAGTTACCTATCTGAAGGTTACCTATCTTAAAAACAAAGTCTTGAAATTGGTCTTTAAGTATATATTCAGTTGTTTTTCAGTTTGAGAATAGTGTAAAAAATAAAGATAGTGTATTTATTAAGATTAATAATCAATAATAGTTTTTAAAAATACGCATATATATTACAATATATTTAATTTTACAGCAAAAGTAGTCAAGAGTTGTACCATGGCTTTAACAAGACTTTCTGGAATATTTTTTTAGACTATTGAAAATTTTGTATCAACTCTTGCAAAACTATTTAAAACCATAATAAACAGTTGCAGAGTATTTTCAGACCAAAAATCTAGTCCTTTATTTGGGTTGAAATTTGATATAAGTAAAAAAATTAACATGTATGCTTGAAAGAGCATGTAATTTAAGTGATACTCAGGCCAAGTTTGACATAAACTTGTTTGTACTTGTTAATGGTTGATAGGTAACAAGCTAAAACCAAGACATGTTAGCAAATAAAGAAATACATACCAAAATTCTGATTGTAATTTCATTAATGTTTTTACAAATATCCAATTATTTGGAATCTTTTTCACAAATGATTTCTTTTGCATAAAAATAATCATTTAAAAACTACTTCACTTAATCTGTTTCTTATATTATTTTTAAATTTTTCCCCTTCCATTTTCAATTTTTCAACTGGAAAAAGCACTTTTTCAAAATATTTCCATTGTTTAACATCAACTGCTTGCCTTTGGTTGGAAACTTGATTTTAGTTTCCTTCGCAAAATTTTCTTTTCAATACATTGAGCATTAAAGTTAGCACCTTGTGTACCCTAATATGAAAAGAAAATTACAAAAATTATGACCTTAAAGTTTGTCTACGTTACCTTGAACAACCAAAGTCCACGACTTGCATGTTTAACTTCCTTTTTTTTGTTAAGATGTTGACAGAATATTTTAAAAGTTTTGATTATAATTGTACAAGGTATCATGGTTTTGAAAATGTAAACTGTTTTTAGTAGAAATTATTTTCAAAACTAACTTATTTTGTTAAGATGTGCAATTCTTTATCTATTTCACCTGATACCAAAAGTATTATGCACTAGTGTGTTATTTTTTTTCATTATGTTTCAATATTTTTTCTTCTAGCCTTGCCTAATTTTATCAACACCAACCATCATTGAGTGTACATAAATTATACATATTTATAGATATTTATCAATACATTATCAACTTTTATGTATTTATAGGTACATAAGTTATCAACTTTTTTATCATTATGGAATCAAATAATAAAATTTCAGAAACATTTAAAAAAATTAAAAAAATACCATATAAATGAACAGGCTGACCACATGCCATCACACTATCACAAAGACGCATTATACGTGGCATCCCAATAATAGCTTTGGCTTGTGTAAATTTAGGTTGAAAACATTCATATGAAAGAAGAACTAAGAATTGAAATACAGTTGGAATAAAAAGTTCCGGATTTCTAAAGGCAAAATTTTTTCAAAAAAAATTATACATACTATTTTCAACAACTTTTATTTATAAACAACTTTATCATAAATAAGAATTTTATAATAGCAGGTGCCTTACAAGCGGCCAGTAATCCAGGAGGTCTAAAAGATTTGATCTCTTGTTTTACATAAAAAGCGCCATGATTTTGAGTTATTAACTCTCCAAATGTGCCAAAATACAGTTTCATAGAAAATTCATGGGCTTATTTGAAAGGAATAATTTATAAGAATTTTTTACGTGACAAAAAAATATAAAATCTCTGTGAAAGAAAAAGAAAAACATCAAAATCTGTATTTACTTACAAAAAAAAATTTAACTTTATATTAACAAAGGATAAATTAAAAAATTTATGCTTGTTTTGTATAGAAATTTATATTTGTTTTATTTTTCAAAAAATAGTAAAAAAGTAGTTTTGAATGTAATTTTAAATTTTTATTGAACGCTTAAAAACATGAAAAAGCAAAGTTAAGTTTTTGTTATTTGTTTAAAAACAATTTTTTTGTCTTGAAAAAAATTTACAATATAAAGCATACCTAATTTGACCTTGCTCAACAAGTTCAAACTGCTTCAAAACATAGCCTATAAAAACTTGATCACTATCAAGCAATGAGTAATTTACACGCAATCTTATTAATTGATCAATAAGATGTATTGTCTGGCACTGCAAAGAAGTGCTACTGGTGGTTGTGTATGATTTTAAGGCACGAATAACAAGCGGCTCAAACATGCGAATATAAGACTGAATTGAAGACATCTAAATTTAAAAAAACTTTAACAAAATAACAAAAAATAAATAAATTAAAAAAATTAAAAAAAAAAAATTAATAAAGAACATTTTATTAAATTTTTAAAAACCAATTATAATAAGAAATTATAGAATCATAATTGTAAAAAAAGTTAATCTAGTATACTCATGGTTATTTAGATTCTATATGGTAGGTCCAAAAATCATTTAGCTGTAATTTTATCTTACAGATGTTTTTTTTTAAATATAAATTTCAAGCTTTCTATAACCCTTGGAATTAAAAAAAATGAGGTTTGCAATAATTTGTTGCTGTTTTGGTGTAACTTTTTCTAAAAGAACTCATGTTATTCAAAGAAATAAAAAACCGAAAAAAAAAAAAAAAAAAAAAGAACTTGTGCATATATATGCATACTACCTTAGAATAGTATGTGACAGATTTTTAGACACAAAAAGCTTTAAATGCCCTACATACATAAATAATGCCTTCCCAAAATCAAACCCTCAGATTATATAGACAACTTTTAGTTTGTTTGACGGCTACATCAGAAATTGTTTGGTCAACCTTTTGATTTGTACATTTGAGATTGAGAAAATGATTAACCAATGAACTTGTTAAAAATCTTTTTTTAATTAATACAAGCTACTTGATAAAATTAGCAGAAACAGTTATATTCTTGAAGAAAATGCAACCTTTAAACAGTGCTGATCATGAGGAATTAATTGGCAGCAGCTATGAGCAGATTGAATTTGCTTTTTTACTTAAAATCTCTTTTTTTTTTCTTTCTCATTTTCTTGAAAATTATAGAATATTCTAACAATTTTATCATTACTTAAAAAGTGGAAAGCTGTTATTATTATTATTATTGTTTTGTTTTTTTTGATGAACTTAAATGTACACATGAATTTTTATGATTATATGGGATGAATGAATTGAATAATTACGAATATAGTGTTAAAAGTATGTAAAAAAAGTCTGAAAGATTGAAATGGTAAACAAATTACAAAAAAAAAAAAAAAAAACAATTTTACAATTTAGTAGTAGAAAGTGGCATCTCAAAATAATTAGAATTGTACTGGCAAATAATGAGCAGTTGGACAGCCAATATCAGCATATTATTAATTGACAAAATTTTTAGCAAAAAGTAAAATATGCATATTATGCATCTGTGTGCATATTTATGCATCTGCAAACATATTTCTGCAACTGCATGCATATTTTGGCGGATCCTAAATAAAACTATTAAATATATAAATTAATAAAAAATAAACAAATATAATAAAATACCTTCTCTTTGCTAACCTTATCCAAAGGTCTATTTGCAGTAAATGGATTTTTAAATGATTTCAAAAAACTTACAGCTCTTGATCTAAAATATTTTGAATTTTTTTGTAATAAATTATTTTTGTAATAAACTATTCTTGTAATAAATTATTTTTGTAATAAACTATTCTTGTAATAAATTATTTTTGTAATAAACTATATTTGTAATATATTATTTTTGTAATAAATCATACTTCAATTTGTAATAAATTTATTTTTTTAATATATTATTATTTAATAAATACAATAAATTACCAAAACTACTATTTTGGATATTACTGCATTAACTTCAATAATATACTAATGCTGAAAATTACCTATTTTCAACCACTTGTGGCACACGTTTTAATGATTCATAAACATGGTTATAGGGAACTAAAAAGCATGATTCAAAAACATCCTCTGTCTCATATTCTAGAGAATTAGAGAAGTTATTTTCTTCATAAAAGTATGTGGGATCACCGTGATACTTTACCAACTGTTGTGTACTTTCAGGGAGTTTAAATGTTTCTGGTTGATTAGCTGCATTTGTACCAAACAAACCTTTTAATAGCTAAAACAACAATTCAAACATAAAGTTCAAACATCTTCTTCTAATAAAAACCAGTCCTCCATTACTTCTGCATTAACCATTATATTAGCAAATTTTACATTAAAAAATAACTTTTTATTTTATTTACCTGTTGAAGTGCTAAAAATGATGCTTCTTCATCTACCAAAACAGTTGTTTTAATATACTCAAGAATTTCTTCAACATAAGGCCCTAATTCAACAAATGTAGCTAGCTCCAAAAGCATACTAAATGTTTCCAAAACGCTTTTTACAAACGAAGTAAACTTATCCAATGAAGATGAAACAGGTGAAACTTGATAATTTTTAAAAACACCTTTCAGCATCACGTAAATGTTCATAAAGTGCGGAGAACTTTGGAAAAACCCAAGTTTCTCATTTTTGTCAAAGACATGAGTATAAGGTGATGTAACTTTTGAATCATGGTTTAAGTTAGGAAAGTTAGGATCTTTTAAGTTAGGTAAGTTAGGATCTTTTTCACTAGCTTTCAACTTTTCAGATTCTGCTTCTTGTTTTTTTGTAGCTGATTTTACAATACTAAATTTACGAGGAGAATTTGAAGTTGGTGTTACACCAGTTGTTAAAGGCTGTTGAGGTGAAGAAACGCTATCTGGAACTTTATCTTTGTTCTCAAAAATAAAATACAAACAAATCATGAACGAACTATTAAAAAAAAGTGAATTTATAAATCTTTAGAAAAAAAGAAATTTTTTTTTAAAGATTTATAAATTCTTTTTCTTTTTATTCAGCTAAATACACAGACCAAATACACAGACCAAATACACAGACCAAATACACAGACCAAATACACAGACCAAATACACAGACCAAATACTTGATATACAAAACTTCAGATTAAATGCTGGATATATAAAGCATCAAGTCTATTATAGAATATATGTGCACATATGGATATATGACTACATCTTTTAAATGTTTTGCCAATAATATCTTTATTACTTAAGCAAAGCAACATCTTTAAACAATAAATCTTAAAAACTGTATTTATCTTTAGAGCTAGTGGGTTAGAATAATTACCTTTAGAATAAGTGGGTTAATTTGTTCAATAACATGCAGCAAAATTGAAAACAATTTTAATAAATGTAGAAACAATTTTTGCGCACACGATGTTAGCTCTGCATTGCCAAGTGATGACCACATATTCTCTCCAACGGCTGTATCAAGCAAATTGGATTGGTTGTGTTCCTTAGATAGTTGTGCTTTGTCATTCAAATACCTTTTGCTTGCTCCACATAATAAGTGAACAGATAACTGAGATAAAAATAGAAACCATTTTGATATGTAACAATTAAAAAAATTAAAAGTTACTAAAAGATTTTTAATAACTTTTTAATTTAATAGAAAAATTTAATTTTGAAATATTTAGTTAAGATATTGTTAAAAGCATTTTTAATAATATCTTAATTACCTTTAAAGCTTGCTCATGTGCAACAAGATCTAAACCGATCCATGATGAAGAAAGTTGATCAAGTGTGAAAACCAACAAACCCAGTGAACTTTTTTGAACTTCTGAAAAATCAAGTTTTTTACGAAAGTTATTGCTTGATTGACTTTCTTTCACTGAGTAACCAGGTAGCATCTCCCACGAAAATGGATGTAGAGAAACAGGGTAAGAAATAGAAAGCAAGTAAAAACACTCTAAACAGCCAAGCTTTAAAAAAAATATATTTAACAATATAAATATATCTATATAAATTTAAAAAAGTATATTTAAAATTACATATAAAAAAAGTCTTGTTTTGTGTTGAAAAAAAAAAAATTTCAATTTATTTTTAAACTGCTATAATGTCATTTTAACATTATAAAAACAGTATTTTCAACTTTTGATTAAACTCTATTATAGTTATAATATACTTCTTTTTAAAAAGATATGTTTATTTTATTTAACAAACAGGCATATACATATATGCATATAAAAAGTGGATGTCATGTGGATGATTCCTTATAATATAGCATCCAAAATCTTTAATTGTATCTTGAGTACAGTTTTTTATCTGATCTTAAACTCAAATATAAGTGCAATAAATTTCCTGAAGTTTCTTTACCATTTCTTTACCATAGGTAACTTTGACCCAAACTTTAAAAAATATTTCAAAAGTAGAATATAGAGCAATTTTTAAATCAAGCTCAAATATAAGATCTTTGTTAACATCAAAAAATAATTTAAAACTACCTAATAATATCCAACCTAGAGTCTATACAATATGATGCAACTGTTACAAACTGTATGTAACGAAGTGCATTTTCAAAAAAAAAAATAATAATCTATACTCACAAAACATTTAGAGTAAAAAGTATTATTTAAATATTCAAAAAAAATATTTTTGATTGATTCTACCTGCACATATTTCAAGGAGAACTTCTTTTGATGCAGCATAAGCTTTCGTAATAAGTAAGTAAGATTAGTGTGAATTGAGTTCTTGTTGTTTAATACATGGACAGATAGGCTGGGCAGGCAGCAGATATTTATCTCATTAGGGCAATACAATTTTGGTACAACACTAAACAAATTGTTTATTTAAGTTAATATAATTATAATATAAAACATTAGTTCTGACACTAAAGTTGACAAAGTCAACATAATCAATTTTAAGAGCTAAAGTAATGCTTTTAAAAACAAAGAAATTTATTACGTAATTTCTCAAATGCATTTTCACATAAAACAAATAATTTAGTAAACCTCTCAACAGAAAAGTACTACTAAAGACATGGTGAGACTATATCTCACCATTAGAGGTGTACCGGATATTTTTGCTAGATATGCCAGATAGTAAACTTTCAAAAGCTCTATAAGTGTTTATGGAAAAAAAACAAATCCTGCCAGTCTACAATAAATAGTGTTCAAGATCTTACTTTAAAAAATCAGTGAAATATGACATGGTATATGTGCTGACAAAGTATAGAAAATAGTAATAAAAAAAAACAAAAATTTTGCTATAAAAATAATTTTTCGTTAAACATTGTTAACGCATATACTTATGTTATATCAGTTTTTTATTAATTTTATTTTTTTAAATCTTAAACACTATTTAATGTAGAATGGCAAAACTTGTTTTTACTTCATAAACACTTATAGAACTTGAGAAAAGTTCACTATCCGGCATATCCAGCAAAAATATCAGGTACACCTCTACTCACCATGTCATAAGACTATTCAAATCATGGTGAGCCAACCAGTTACTTCTTAGGAATACACCAGTAGTGGAAGTGCAATCTTAATAACTTTGTCACAGGAGACAAGTTCTTACCACTAATTCTCATATCCCTTCTAATAATTTCAGACAAATAACAATTGATCACTTCAACTTCTTACAACTTATTTAACTGTAAACTCATATTAAAGTTCAATAATTTGTACAGGTACATCTACAAATAATTCAATTATGAGTCCCCCTAACTATTAGAAGAATAAGAATATGTATAGAAATGATTTGTACGTGCCCCTTTATCTATCACAAGAATAAGAGTATGTATAGAAATGATTTGTAGGAGTCCCCCTAACTATTAAAAGAATAAGAATATGTATAACTTACTTAACTAGAGCTGATGCAGCTTTGCTTCTTACTCTTGGATCTTCATCACCCAAAAGCTTTAAAAGAACATCAATAACTTGATCTTGGATACTGGCATGTTTTACATTTATCCTTGGAATAGACTTCAAATGCACCCAAGAATTTTGAAGAATATGCAGCAATGGGTAGTTAAGAACTTGAAAGATTTCCATAATTTCAACCTTAAATAATTTAAAGATTATCTTACTAGTTTTTTATTTAAATCCTGTCCAATATTTAATTCTACAATATTAAGAAAAAATATATAAGAACAACTTTATTCTTTAAGCTCATTCCTAAAAAATAAATGAAATAAAAAAATAAATTAAATCATTAGACAAATAGCATAAAACGAAAAAGAAAAAAAACCTTCACTAGCCAATATGTTGAACTAGAATGATCTAACAGCTTCCACACTAGTTCATAACCCAGTAAATTACAAGTAGATTCTAGTATAGCATGAATACATTGTGAAATTGCTTGACAACATTGTTTTACAGCTGTCGCAGATTCATCATTTAGGATTACTAACAACACATTGATGACTTGTTTTAAATCAAGTAAATCTAAATCAGTAATGTAAAAAAATGTTAATAAATATAAAATTTTGAAAAATAAAAATAAAATATTATTTCACAAAATCTTCTTTTTTAACATGAAAAACTTTATTATCAGGGTAATAGGAATGGACAAAGTCACTGTCAAATCTTTAACATGTTTCTCTCAATTCTAAAACATTAAAACAGCAAACTTGATGATTCAAAAAAAAAAAAAGAGGTACTAACAAGAATGCTGAAGATGTTTTAATATAAAGATGCTGAAATGTCAAAAATGACTTATTATTGGATCGATACGTACTATTGGATCACAAACAATCTCATTTAAATTAATCTTATAAAAATTCATTTTAAAAAGATTTTCAAAATGAAACAATGGAAATTTTTATTTGCTTTAATCAAACAACAACTTGGAAAAAAAAAAGTATAATTTAATCTGCAAATATAGAAACAAATAAAGCTGTATGCATTCAAACAAAATAATTTTAATATTAAGGAATTATTTTTAGCATTAAATAAATTTCAAATATTTTAGTATATAAATATTCTAGTTTATGCATTTAAATAAAGATAAGCATCCGTTTATTATAATGATAAAGTATGCAATTATTGCATATCAAATTTATTGTACAAATTGTACAAAAACAAAATATCAAGTAAAAGTTGCATATCAACTGACAAATACATCATACATAAAAAAATGTTTAGGGATGTTATACTATGGACCAGAGACTTTATCTAAATATCATAAATGTTATGCTGCCACATGCAAATGACAATATGACTTGAAAATAGATGTTGTAACAAGATAATGATCCAAAATATTGGAACTATTGAAGGTCTATCATGTATGATAGTTATGCATGTATGCATGTATGTATGTATGTATGTATGTATGTATGTATGTATGTATGTATGTATGTATGTATGTATGTATGTATGTATGTATGTATGTATGTATGTATGTATGTATGTATGTATGTATGTATGTACTATCAAGTCACAAAAAAGATTGCTGTTATATTGTAAGGTTTATATTAATTCACAAAAAAAAACTTCTGCTAAATTAAAAATACCTCACATCATACAACATTCAAAACTTAAATACCTGTTTCGTAAAAGGTTGTAACTTTATCAATCCAATTTGTAAATTCTCCACCAGCCTGTTTAACTGTACAACATATAAAACTTGATACAATAGCTGCAACTAATCCTCTTAGATGTGGATCATCGTGAGTACTAAATAGCATGATGTCCCTAACCAATTGACCATTACTAAAATCAATGTCGTCTGGCAACGCCTTAGCAACAAAAGCTTCAGGAAATATTTTCAAAGCTGAGCAAATACAACTTAAAGCCAAAGCTTTGACACTAACTCTAGTTTGATTATCTGGTAATACACAACCTGGTTTTCCTTGAAGCAAAAAAGAACACATAACGCGAACACAATGCAAAGCTGGAACACCAGTGCATGACACAGGGTCAAAATTAAATAGCGATTGTAAAGCAACAAAAGAATCTTTATTAAGCAAATCTTTTTGACGTGGATCTTCAAACGTGCAACTAGAAAGATCATCTTGACTATCAATACCAAAACTTTGATCAGTAACATAGCCATCGGTATGAGACTCAATGTTAACCATACTTCCTTGAGTATATGTTCGAGGTAAATCCAAACCTCCTTCAGAGTCATTAGGAACATCAAGATTATAAGATGAAATGGATTCAGTTGATACAAAATCATTTTTATCTGTAATCTATAAATTAAATAGTTTAAAATATAATAAATCTTTAAATAAAGATAATTTAAAATAAGGTATTTTTTTATTTTTTATAACTTCTTATAGTTTTAAATTAATTACCATTATATTTGAAAAATAATCAATCTTGGGAACTTCCCATAAATTGTTAACGCTTGGTTCTAAACTTGATTCTGCAATATCATCATCTGATTTTTTGCTGTTAAAAATATCACTGGTTGATGATGATAAACTATATAAATCATTAGACAATCCAGAATCTCCCATTTGGCTTGAAGATAAAGATTCATCTGTTATAAAAAATAAAAATTCAAACAAAGTTTATGTACATATATGTATATATACGTATATATAATATATACATGTTTATGTATATATTGAAATAGCAATGTAATATCATACTGAAATAGCAGTGAAGTCTCATACTAGAAAAACTAAAAAAAAAAAGAAGAAGATAAATGCATTGTTCAAGCTGCTATTAAAAATCACTACATTTCTACATATGAATTAAAAGCAGATGAGAAAATTTTTTTTGTAGCTCTGAGAAAATGATGACTTGCTTTTATTTATCTGTAGAAATGTGGCAATTTTTAATAACAGCTTGAACAATCCATTTATTTATCCTGGACCCTGGATAAGTCAATTGGAATTTTAGTTGCCCTTGAACTTTCTTTATCAACTTACTATAAAACCATCTGCTTAAATAATAGCCTTGTTAAGTAACCATTTGCTAACACATACATTTTTTGTACGGAAATTCCATATACTTCAATAAAATTCCAAACTTTGAACACTTGAAAACTATCTTTATGTCAAATATGATTAAACATAAATATTTTCACTGATATCTTTGATTTCTTTGAATTCTTGATTAAATTCTATTTATTAATGACAATTACAGTCTTTCACAGGAAGACATGTGATCACACATCTTTATACGACCAGGCAAATTACATTTTGCTTTGATGATTTGGCCACGACTATTTAAAAAAATATTTTAAAAACGCGCAAAATGAAAAATATTCTTAATTATACCTTAAGTGAAATAAATTACATTAAAACTTTGAACAAATGTTTTTATATTAGCAAAATGCTTTTAAATAAAGTAACAATTTACTAATGTTTTTTTTTTAATTATAATTGACAGTTGTATATCTTTTTTTAATTTATAATATACAAATTGTTTAAGTGTGTATTTTTTTATAACAAACGTTACTAAAAAATAAAAAATTGTTTTGTTTTTATAAACAATGACATTCTACGACAACAAAAGTCTTTTTAACGAATTTTAATATAAGAATAATTAAAGTTAATACATTTAAAAAGATAAACAAATTTTCATTGAAAAAAAAAAAAAGTTTTAGAAAGCTGTTACCATTTAATGTTTGATCTTAAATGCTTTTATATTATCGAAACGCTTTTTAATAAAGTAACAAAACACTTCTAATGAATTTTTCAAGTATCAAAAACTGTTTTTTTTTTACTTGTAATAATTATATATTTTTTATGATAAATGTTTATCTTTAAACATATTAAAAAACAAAAAATAAAGTATAAATGTTAAAACAAAGAATAAATGGTTTTTTAATGTGTAAATTAAGTAGACTAAACATTTTAGTTAGGTGAGTTCTTTTTTTTTTTTTTTTTTTTGCGTTTTTGCTTTAGTTAATTTTATTTTTTTTTTCTCTTTTGTTAAGATTTTTTTTCTTTTTTAAATTTTTTTTAGATAATTTTAAGTAAGTTATTGTAACACATTTTTAAATTTTGAAAATATGTCAAAAGCCATTGTCAAATCGTTAAAACAAATTATTTTTTGCTTGGTCATATAATTGCATGTGATCGCACGTCTTCCTGTGAAAGACTGAATTAAATTAAAAATTCAAAAATATCAATTAAAATTCAAAACTTAGAACATTCAAAATAACTTTGCATAAAATAATTTAACAAAAATTTTCATCTTTGATTTGGATAAGCTTTGCTTAAATTTAATATAATTAAAATGTTGAAAGTTGCTAAAAGAAAACTAACAAGTAGAACCGCAACAGAAAAATAAATAATACTAAAAGAACTTATTAAAGGAGAATCATATGTATCTATACCAAAAAAATATGGCATTTGCAACTTGGTTGTGACAACTTTTAAGCATTCTATGGATGGTTAGATTGATGGGGAAAAAAAAAGAAATAATGTATTGTTTAAAACAATATAAGGTATTTTATCATTTTATTGTACATTGATGTTTACATATTTTTTTGCCATTTGTCTGAGAAATAATAAAAATAAGTTTCATTCTATCACCCCAATAATAAAAAAATAACACCCCAAAAATAACACCCCAAATCAATTGTTTATCAATCCAGTTCTTTTTTTTTATTTTTTTTTAAAGTCTAAATAAAATGCAATTGACGCATTATTATGCACTGCATGAAAAGCAAATAAAACCATAACTAATAAAATTTATGTTGATATTAAAATTATTTTTTTTATTTTGCATAAGTGGTCAAGAGGTTACCAATTAAATGACAAAAAACAACTTGCTGACAATATTGACTTATTACATCTTGCAATATATTTAATGCAGACGAGTTCAATTTGTTTGTTAAAGCATTTGCAAAAGAAAGTATGCATTTGAAAGGTGAGAAATGTAGTGGAGGTAAGAACTGCAAGATACAACTAACTGGCTTGCTACAGCTAAGATGTGTGCAGAAAAAACTCTCTGTCTATTATTGAAAAATAAAGGAAATAGAAGTACATTATTCCGTTACCGTGTGAAAGTTTGTATTAGAAGGCTGCAAGGTAGTACAGGTCATCGACAATTGCACCACCCATCTGAATATTAAGAATCTCAAATCAGTCCCACTCTACATTACCACAAACACAACTTCATGTTTGCAGCCATAAATCAAGGAGTCATACAATAATTGAAATGCAAGTACCAAACTAATTTGATTAACAAGACCATAAATGCTATTAATAACAGGAAACAAATCCCTTCAATCTCCATACTTGATGCTATAAAAATACTTGTTCATCTTTAAAATGAAGTTTCAGAAACCACTCTTATTAAATGCAGGATTTAAGGAAGAATAGATTTAAGGAAGAAATAAGATTCCCAGATAAAGATAATAAATATTTCCCAGCAAATGAAAAATTCAATTACACCAGCATGATGAAGATCTTTACATGACGAGGATAAATTTACTTAAGAAGATTTGTTAACGATTAGTGATTACATTTCAGTTATGGGAGGAGTGATGACTGATCAAAAAATTAAATAAATGTTTACTCAGAATAGTGCCTTGTATTAATTTTTACTCAGAGTAGTCAAATTGGAAGAGTAGCTTTGAATTCTTTAAAGCTATTTAAAAAAGAATTGTGCAAGTCACTGAAACAAATATCAATATCTTTTTTTTTGTTTATAGTATATATTATATATACAAAAAAATATTTTTTACATAAGATTATATAGTTTATCTTGTCTTGGATTTTCGATAAGTCTGACATTTTCATGAAGTCCAACATACAATTTTGCAAATGTTAGAATATGCTTAATTCTGACATTTGCAAAGTTGAACAAAAAATATATATATATATATATATATATATATATATATATATATATATATATATATATATATATATACCCTTTCAGAAGCCAAGTTAATGGGGTTCTACTCTGTGTGTGTATGTATGTATGTATGTATGTATGTATGTATGTATGTATGTATGTATGTATGTATGTATGTATGTATGTATGTATGTATGTATGTATGTGTATATATATATATATATATATATATATATATATATATATATATATATATATATATATATATATATATATATATATATATATATATATATATATATATATATAATGAGTGAAAAGATAAGTTCTTCAAAGTTTCCTTTGACACGTAATCGAACTGCAATGTGGTTGATTGGTCAACCTGAGAAGAATCTACCAAACAATGTCCTTCCAACAATGGTTGATGTGTTAAGGACATTTTTCCACTATCACAAAGCATTGAAACAAACAGTTCCAGCCAGTGCAAAAGCATCATCTAATGGTTTAGCTCACATCTGGAAAAAGGCCAGAATTCCAATGACTTACCAGCCTCATATTGTATCAGAAGTGAAAGCATATGTTGATAAATATAATTTAATTAAAGAGAATAAAGGAAGAGCTAGTAAGTCACAGATTGCTAGAGAGAAAGACTTTAGTATCAAATTAGATTTACTGTTTGACATTTCACACAAGGATGCAAACAAGCTAATTAAAATTGATGAAGATAAATTATTTCTGGAAGACCAAAAGAATGCTTGTATGATGAAGATGGCTGGAGAAGATGTAAAATTATCTCAACAAGAAAAGCAAACAGCAGAGCATCAACAAGCAAAAATAAAAAGAAAGCAGAATGAAAAAGAGAGAAGACATCAAGCAAATGCTGTCCTTACCCAAAGCTGTAGCCACTTTAGTCTTGATTGTGATAGTGATAGCGAAGCAACAGAAGTCAGTGACACTCCTGATGACAATGATGATTATGAAATAGAAATTCCGGTTTATCACAAAAAACTAGTAACCCAATCAACTGACTGTGAACAAAGTCCTAAAAATAAAAATCCACATATTCTCAATGAAATTTTATCTTCTCCAGATGTATCATCCACACTTGATCGAATCAATTTATCTGACCAAAAATTCACTATATTGGCAGCTGCAATTGCTAGAGCAAGTGGAGAGGACCTCCAAAGTACACCATTATCAAGATCAACAGTCCGCCACAAACACATCATGCACCGTTCATCAACTGAAAATGGTATTTGGCAGAAATTTATGTCAAGTAAGAAATAACATATGGTCATCCACTGGGATAGTAAGATGACGAGAGACAACACTAACTATGAAAATCCAAACTCCAATGTTGATAGAATTGCTACTGATGTTACTGGTCGTAATCTGGAGAAAATACTGGGTATTGTAAAGATATTATCTTGCACTGGACTGGCACAAGCAAAAGCAACCTTCCAGTTACTGACCATATGGAATGTTGCAAATTATATTGTCGGTATGTGTTTTGACACAACAGCGTCAAACACGGGTTCCAAAAATGGTGCGTGCATCTTGCTAGAGAAGTTGAAGGAGAAAAATCTTCTCTACTTTGCTTGCTGTCACCAT